TCTTTTAATTCACCCGATGTGTCTAAAGGAAGGTGAATCAAAAGGCAATTCTCTCTTCCTCCTTTCTTTATGTTCCAAGGATTGAACCGTGCTCGACGAGAACGGTAACGAGATCCTGCGAATCGGAAATGGGACTCTAAGAAACAACGATAAAGTTTCCTTGGAACACGTATCCGGGTGCGTTGCACGCATCGACGTTTCTCGAGCAATTTCAATCGATGACAAAGACAAGAATCTCCTGTTCCATTGCAAAGGATGATATTCTAAGAGTGAAGTATAAAGAGAAACTTTTCTAAGATATCAATTTCTCATCATAATGCACGAGTCTTCGAGAACACTTTTCTTTTATATACCTGATAGAATTGTTTTACAAATTTCGAAAGTAACAGACGAAAACGTAAAAGGCAAAGTCAAGATTGTTTAAGGAAGGTAACAGACACGTGGGAAAACTGTGCTAAATTCAACAACGAAATTTATCGTGTTATCGTTCGATCTTCCTCCGCAACCCCTAATGTTCTTGGATTATTCCTGACCTCTTCGTCGCTCGTATCTCACGATCGTTCGACGCGAATCTTCGATTCCGTACGTGTTTTCTATGATAATAAATTTACCATGGAATCCGGAATGTTTGTGTTCCTAATCGACCGTGAAATATTTGACGTTACTGGTTTCGTGATTTAATACTTACTGAGATTGTTTTAGTCTGGTTTCCTGGTATTTTGGAATCAATATTTTATTATCAGTCAGCCATTCGTTATTTAAATAGAATATTCTTCGATCATTTATCATAATTACATTATACGAATAATGGTTATTAGCGAATTACACGAAAGCTTAGTTAACAGTTTGTACTTAATTATTGTATTAGATGAAACAGGTGTTATAAGCTCAAATAAAAGCCAGTGTACAGGTAACAAAGTTAAAGGCTAGAAATTACCACAACCTTGCTCGTTAATCACACGTTGCCCTCATTACGGTTAAGATTTACATGATCGTTAACCGTTCCCTATACACTGTAATTTAATAATAATTAATGAAGAAATAAGAATACAATAGATAATCATCCCCCGCTGTACTTTTATATTAGATTAATAACAGTTTACAGAACAGCAGAGTGGCGCAGTGGAAGCGTGCTGGGCCCATAACCCAGAGGTCCGTGGATCGAAACCACGCTCTGCTAAGGGATGAAAAAGTGTTTTTTATTACTGAAGTAACGTTTTAACGATACATTTTTAATGAAATATTAATTTGCATAAAATGATTAATGATATTACAAATTGATATCAAAATGATTAATATTAGGGGTTGGTGGAAACGAAAATAATCTTACCCCATAATATTTGCCATCGCCATCGTGCTATAAAATTATCATGTTTGAATAATTCTAAGATCTTCTTGAACGTCTATACCAGCTATCTGTTAAATGAAGCGAAATACTATTCAATCTGAATAAAAATCTTTTCAGCCAACATAGCAGTCGTTTCGCGAAAGAACTTCACAAATCGATTTCCATTAGCAAGCCATTCCAGCGTGTTAAACCCTCGCTGTTCATCATATCTCGTTCTTTGACAGTGTTCTTCTTCTTCGTCTCTATCGAAGCATGCAAGGTCTCTCTTTCGTTTCTCCCTCGACAAAATCGATCATCACACGAGTCGTGTAATTTTTTTCTCTTCTTTGTCTTGGCGAAAATTCCTCGTTATTCGAAGCAATTAATTTCCCTTAGCACCTAATCTATAGAAATTCCGTTCCTTTAATTGAAAATAATTTAACGCGTTAATTATCGTGCCAGCCATGTTTGAGTGACGCTTGAATTTTCACAGGAATTCATCCCCCATATTCCGATATTATAATAATATTTCTAGAATTGTAGTACTTTAGAATTTTGGTAATTTGAAAATTTGAATGTTTAGATAATATTACAGAGGGTAGATCTACTGCCCTTGGAGAGAACGTGTTGAAACTGATAGCGATTGTTCGCAAAACGTTATTTCGCATGTAGCCAGCTAATAAAAGTGGAAGTATCGATTATCGTTCAACCAACAAGGAACAATCTTTGTCCCGATCAGTATTATTGTCCAATTATTGGAAGAATTCGAGAATGGACTCAGCTTCCTATTGGTTTTGTCCGTATCCTGTTCGCTCGGTTAATTGGATTTATTCACTGAAACGCATCTTCATTTCGTCGATATCCAAATAAGTTCTGCAACGTGATGGAACGTCCGCGATGTTACTTCGTTCGAAATCGGTTAAAAGAAAAGGATTCTATCAATTGGCAATTGACCTTTCGTTTCTTTTCTTCGAAGACTAAACGCGTTCATAAATGTTACTTCTAACTAAATTTCAAACACAATCTAGAAATTTGCAAACGATGATTATTCAATTGTAGTAGAATCCAGAAGCAGTTAAAATTTACTCGGTTTAGCGTGGATAAGGACCAAGCCTCTGGGGTTAATTTGGCAAGTTTCAAACACTGTTACGCGAACCCTTAAAATAAAGGAACTTTTCCCGTTCCTTTCAAAATGGGTCACATCCTTATTTGTTTTCTACAAAGTTCCCAAACTTTTATCGACGACGTGTGACGTGTTACCAGGTTCCTTTTCATATGATACCAAACAACAAGTATGACGTAAAACGCGTACAAAGGGTTGTACCGCTGGTGAAATCGCGTGGCTAACTTTCACATGTATACGTGAAAAAAAAAAATATATATACAAAACAGCCAGCAACTTGGTGAACGCTTTAGCTTTATGCCTTGAAGAGTAGAACCGTGGTCGCGAAGCACGATCGATAGACTATCTAAAGCTGCACTCACCAGGTCTTTGCTTTATTGGATATCACTCGATATCTTTCAGGGAATCGGATTCGAGTGCGGTCGATTGATTCGAACACTGAGCACGGCTAAATCGTGCCTTCTTTATGACTAAATTTCACATTTCAGAATTACTTGTGCGAAAATTCTCGGAAGAAGTTCTAAGTTGTTGCAAATCTTGGGAATTGGAATGATGACTTAAAAGTATTGCAAAATTACACTTATATTGTATCGAATTAAAGATTGAAGCTTAAGAAAAATAACGGTATAAACGCTTCATTAATATTCTCGATACAGAACGATTGATTATTAATTAAAGCAAACAGTGAGCTATTTTAAGGTATATTAAGTTCGAAGATGATTTAATGACATAAAAGTGTCACAGGGTGACACTTGGAACACCTTGATTTCAAACTTAAGGTGTAATAAAAATGAAATTACGAGGGCTATTGATTTCATAGAATATACGATCATCGATGTATTAACACGTTGATTGGCGCGTTGATTATACTCGCCGTGTCTCGTACGGTGTGCTATAACAGAGATTATCGAGAACATTGAAAATTAATATTTTAATCTAACGCTTCGATTTCCTGTTTCAAACTGTTAGGATAATTACAGTGATACGGAGAGGTGTAAAGGAGTTTTTTTTAAATAATATTAATATTAAAATTTGATTACATTACGTGTAATTCCAGTATAAAAACGCTATTTTTTTATTTTATTTTTTTTAATTTCGTCGTTTATGATTAAAAATTCTGATGCACTCTATCTCTGTTGACCAGTTTAGCAGCATCACTCAGAGAAGGATATTACGTTCTGTAAATACATGAATTTCAATTTAACTTGGCGACAACGTAAAACGAACGGAGAGTAAACGTCACTTCCATTTCACTGTAATTCTCATTTACTTATTCAATGCTTCACATATTCCGATATAAAATCCTTGCGATCGACATTAAACGTGTTCAATATTAATGAAGCTAAAAATATAATTAACTACGTGTCACGTCTCAATTGGGGTCATTTATTAACCTGAAATGTACCTTTGATATCTCCTTAAAATATCGAAAAAAATTGTATTCAAATAAGACTAAATTTAAGCTTCAAATATTTAAATTTATTTTCTTTCATTTTTATCGATTTTTACATACAATCAGAGTGAATAATTTGAAATTCAGAAATGTACCAAAAAGTCTTTGATCATATTTTTAATAACCTTTTGCATGAATTGTGGGTTCAAAGTTTAATATCAAAGCAGTGTATTTCGAAGGTGCGCAAGTTTCTGCATGCCATTGGATATACGTCAAGCATTCCTGTATTCGATGAAATGCAGCCTTTGCTCTGCTGGCCTTGTAGATTAACGACGATGTAGAAGCAAGGTTTTGCGTTTCAACTTCAAAGTCACAGCGTTCATGAAATACAGTAAATCGTAAGGTAGAAGTTACAAAATAAAAGAAAATTATTTCTCTGGAAGTAAAACACATTAAAAAATGCTGAAACAATTGACAATATTCTGCTATGTGATTTATAATTTTATTTAAATTCGTTTAGCAAAGTAAGTAATTCAAATTTTCGCGCGTAAGTTAGACGGTCCGCCAGAGGCCTATATATAGGGGACCCCTTTCGCTAGACCGTCATTCTCCGCGGGACTGCGTACGGGAAGGATGGTAAGCCGGGGCATCGCCATTTTCCCCAGGGAAAGCTGATTTGATCGCGAATGTACAATCGTAGATATTATTTGTTTGCAAAGGAAGAAAAGTACAGAATTTAGAATAAACAAAAAGAAGAAGATTAAATGGAAGGATCAATATTAACGATATCAGAGAGGAGTTTCTTTTGAAAAACTTGATACCATGGATAAAAGTGGTACCAAACTTTGACATTCAATATCTATCGAACTTTGACATTCAATATCTATCGGAACATGGATAGTAAACACACGTTCGCATACGGAACTAGGAACACTCGTATTGGAATCGCAAATAAGAGGATATGGGAACGCGTGCAAATTATTGATTGTGCAATTTATTTTAAAATTTTTGCTGTCGAGTTGGATAAAAAAACAAGTAGCTGGAGTTCGAAAAAGTTGAATTGTACTTATCTTGTAAATAAATAAATGTGAATTGTATTGTTTTAAGAGTCTTAAATTCAAAAATATTCGTGGGAATTTCATAAAATAATGTAGCCATTTAATCAATTGTGTCAATGATTTATTATAATTCAATTATGCAAATTATGCAGTAAAATGTATTGAAATGTATTAAAATAGAGAATTAATCGAATGAGACAAACGTATCCATGCGAGAGATTCAATGAAATTATAGATTTAATTAGCGACACACGCAAACGCCACCTCGACAAGAACCACCCCTACGACGTTGAGCTAAGCACTTGATGGCGCAAGCAGAGTGATTTACGGTGAACCATTGAGATTGCCATGATAGAACGTCGCAAGTTACACGCCGTTGTCGAAGGGGTGTCAAATCTGTGGATTCATCTGACGATTCCACTTGTCTGGGCTCAACACCGCCTGATCCGTCCTCGATTGGTTCTATAAAAATATTTAAGCGTTTAGGGAAAAAGAAATTTTTTTAGATTTGTAGTTTTTAGACTCTTAGAAACTAGATACTTGGAAATAACCAATTGTCAGCATGGCAATTAAGGTGGTAAACACCTCCCAAAATAAAAATTACTTTAACTAACAATTACTCATTCCAAATTATAAATACAAACGAAGGATTTATGTAGGCAATTTTGTAAAATTTTAAACTTTAAATTAGTGTACCTGAAGTGTTTTTTTATAATAATTTTATGTCATCAAATCTAATAAGAAGAATTCCATTGTAATCCTAGCTTATATTAGAACAAGCCTACTAATCTGAGGGCTCGAGTTCAAATCTCCTTCGGTGCATAATTTTTTTTTTTCAATATTTTTGTTTTTTCATTAAAGTTAATTAGCAATTGTTCATTTTTTAAATTATAAATATACATACATGTTACTTACTTAATTCATAAACTGGTCCATCATAAACTGCTTCCGGGACACTTGCACCGTAAACGCAGGCAATGGTAGCCAAAATACAAACAACTACGAGTTTCATGTTTCTTACAACAGAAATTGTATCGTGAACTTGAGAGAGCGAATTTCTTCCTACTTCTGCAATTCCTTCAGTGTGATTCCTGAATGATACTCACGGAACGAAGATGGTCCTTTATATACTGCATCAAATCTTGAAATAGACCATTCTTCCTCGGTCTCCATCCTTTTTCCTTGTCCACTTCCTTTTCCTGTGGAATTTCCTTCTGCATCCCGCAATCAAGATTTCTATATATAATAATAATTATATCTTACACTGTTGTCATAAAAATTTGTTGTAAATAAAAAAAAAAAAAATATCACTTGCACCCCTTTCGTTCTAAGTGCTTCGTATGACAAAGTTTGAAGTAGAGCACGTTTCAAATTTGCAGCCCCTTTGTATGTAGAAAAATCATTCGGTTCGATGATCCGCGAAAATAAAGGAGGAGTTCGCTGATTCTGCGGATAAAAATAAACCGTATTTTATAAATCGATATCGTTCACTTAAGAACGAAATTTCTTTGGAAATTCAGACGTCTAGCCATGGACAAATACACTTTTATTAGTCTGTTGCTATATTTTCAAAACTTTTATGGTAAGTCTAATGCAATTCGATGACGTTACATCAATTAAGAGCTTAAATTTGTTGAAAATAACTGTACTTCTGTAAATTGATTTTCGAAATGGTTTAATCAAAATGTATTGACGGAGAGTGGAAGGCAAAGTTAACGTCAAGTGAATCGATGTCACGCTTCTCCTGGGAATAAAGTTAACATCGAATTTCTGTTCACAAACAAAAATCGATTCAACTTCCAAAACGAACCGACTTTCGTCAACTTTTCTACCGTTCTAATGTACCTTTTATTAGTAGAAGCATAAATCACGTGCATTTCTTTTTATTGCAAATTTTTGCAGAAATTAAAATTTTTAATGAATCATCCAATTAACCGGCTTTCTATTTTTCTTACAGGGGAACTTTTTAAAATCAAGATGAGGCGGCAATCGTATAATACAAATTTGAGTACCGGAAGTGGTGGCGAGCCACAGATCATTGTAGAGGAAAGCACGCTAGGCGAAGAGGAAGCGGAGCGACGTAGAAACGAATCACCTCCTCGATGTTTGGATCCAGATTCACCATCCTTGAATCCTTATCTTCTGTCCCCATGGAGAGAAACCAGGAAGCATTCTTTGCCGACTCCACAGTGCACTTCCGGGATAACCGCGTCTCAGGTATCGTCTTATGATTATGTCAGGATAGCACTCAACAACCACATCCTTCATTTTTATTTTTATCTAAGACGCTTAATCCCTCGGTTCATCGAGGATAACATTTTATAAAATTATATCGGTGAAAGGTTTTACAGTTTTAAGAAGTTGTTTAATTATCCTGTTTAGTTGTTGCAAGAAAGAATTTTTCCTTCCAGGTTTCTACATTTTTATTTTGTGATTTTTGTCAGGAAATTTTAATTACAAAGTTTGTTAATTTTCTATGTATTTTTTATTCTTATTCATTGTATTCTATGAATCATAGGTGAGACGATTAAGTGAACGAGGAGGAGAAGGATCAGGACCGTCTCCGAGGGAGGCCGCCTTCCTTGCCACTTTGTCTCAAGCACCAGCCCCTCAATCTGGTGGACGAAGACACTCGGTTGTTACAATTTCGAGGGTACCACCGACTTTATTTGGCCGTAATCGTCGTGAATCAATCGCTGCTTTTCCTCTCGGAGGCGCGACTAGAATATTGCCCGGTCGTAGAGATTCGAAGTCTGGAATATCTGGACCGCCCAGTAACAGCGGAAGTACCCATAATCTTCAGCTAGACATCATGGATGATATCGCTGAGATAAAGGCGCGGAAAGTAAGAACTTTATTATGTTAAATACTTGGAAGTCCCAAGGGAAGGTCTAAGAATGTCCACGAAATTTACAACTTCAGTATTTTTCATTTCAATTAAAATTGTGAAATTTTCAGATTCAATTGTGTTTAATAATTATAAATGGATGAATTATTCATTTGAGCTTGTCAAAGGTCCATTTACACACAATGGTACCACCATCGTACCGTCATAATCTCTTCCTCTCCATTATCTATTTCCCTCGTACCGTAGGTTGAAAACAAAAGCAAAAGGTACTCGATGTCGTATCCAGATCACAACCCCTATCAGAACGTTTATACAATGGGAGCGGTTAAATAATTCCATTTAAATAAATACCAGTGATCCAGATATCTTTGGCAAAATTGTTGAAAGGAATGTTCTAACATAGGAATAATATGTTTCAGGTGCGTCTGAAGATGTACAAAACATCCACGGAACAAGTATGCGAGATTCAACCCTTAGAGGGTAACAGTTCTACTCAACGTTACACGCAGTACCAGAAACGACGATTCTCCGAATTACCTCCTCCCGCGATGTCTCCTACATCTTCCCTTCGAAGACGAGCCTCGGAGTTGCCCAGAGCGGTGAGCACATCCGTAGCCGGAGCAGCAGGAATCGTGTGCTCTAATACAGATCTGATATCGATACTGAGCTCCCTGGCATCGTCCGCGACAGAGATCAACCGATGCGGGGAAGAGAGCTCGCGAGAGGATAGTAAATCAAGTTGGTCGGGTAAAACAACCGAGCAAAAACGAAATCGATTGAAAAGCTTTCGTTCGAACAGCTTCGACGTGTCCATACTTCATGGGGCTAAGAGCAAGCTCGCTGGTTCCTCGAAGGCAACAACGGCATCCGTTATGGCACCGTCGAATTGGTTCACGAAGAGGCATCAGCCGATGTCGAAGAAACAGAAACCCGAGGACCTGATCACGGCTAGTTTGAATTTCAAGTTTGATAAGTCCAAGGTCGTGAAGGCGGTCAAGGAAACTCTTGGAAGGACCTCCCCCACTAGCGAAACCAGACACAAAGTTGTCTGGGATGGGAGCAGCGGAACCAAGGTGGATGCTCAGGTGAGGGGAGGGGATAACTTTGCACTATTATGAAAAATTTTAATTTTATTTATCACAGGTATTGGGCAGTGCAATAGAAAAGATCTTGACCCAAAGAGGAGGTGACACTGAGACACCATCGGCTTCAACGAGCAAAGCTTCGATATCACCGAATAAACCAAAATCTAGTAAGGTAACAAGCTGGTTTTCAGGTAACAACAAGGACCAGGAACAGAACGAATCCTGTGAACCTGGGATTTGTTCTTCCTTGAAAGATTTATTCGTTAAGTAGTATGGAAACACAAACGTGGGTCTCGCGAAATTAATTAACAGTTCTTCGTTTAAGAATTTGTTCCGAGATTAACGCGACCTAATCTGATGACTGACAATCTATTTTAAGTTACAAGCTATTATCTCGGGAAAATGAATAATTTGTGACAATTTCTGTTTTTGTTTTCTACGCGTTTCTATTACTATTATTCCCGTATTAAACCTCGTCAAAGATATACGTATTAAATACAAGATAAATGTAACAGCTTTAGGGATGTACCTTTTTTATTATACTTTTTTACCGTTTATATTAGGTTTATAATAATTGCACTGAAATATCGCAGCTCTAAAGGGGAGGGTTGCTTTGGGTCGTCGCCTACGTCGAAGATTAAGTTAAAGCATTCCTAAGAACATGGGTGATGAATTCCTATAGAAAATTAAAGAATGGATGATATGGCAATCAATGTGTTAAATAAGATAGATGTGCAAATTCCGCCAGTGTTTCCAAATTCGCCATCCATAAGAAAATTATAAACTAACAATAGCATTAGTGTAGAGTTACATTTAGTTGCTTCCTTTTTTACATTATTATTTACAAGTTACTAACGGCAATAATAATATTTCATACGTGTTAATTCGTGTGCAGAGTGAGTGACAATTGTCATTCTTGAATCTGTCGATATAACAAATTTTCCCATATTTTCATACACGTGCAAATGAAAATTTCCGACATTAATGCTACCCTCCCTTGACCCCATTTCATTAAAAAAAAAACAATACTTGAGTAATGTTGCTAAATAAAATGTAATGCGTGTATTTATTTGCCTTTGCGGGTCAAAGGCTCGTCGGATGATTGTAATATATTATATATTGTATGAATATATATATATATATATACATGTACGCAATAATTGTGTGTATAAAAAAATTAATCATATACTTTTAATAACGATGCGATGAATTGTATAGTAAAATATCGTATAGATTATTGGAACGTAAGTAACATTTATGTTACACCATTCGATCATCGTTGAAATAATCTTCAAATGATTGTAATGAATAAATGTGACCAACTTATGGGAATCTCGTCCAGAGTATTGAGAAAAATAATGTATTTAATGGATTTACATGTTTCATTAAATATGACTGTTACGTACATGTATTGTTACTTGTACGAAATAGCGTTAAATATTATCCTGATATTGTATTTATTGTTTCACCTTTCGCAGTGTTAATAAAGGCTACAATCATTCGAACGCAATTGTTTTCGATCTGAAAGATTTGCAAATTAATGGATTTATTTGTGATAGGCTAGGTGAACAATAATTTCAAAACATAATTTATTTTAAAAATTGATTCCTGTAAGTTTAATCATAAGACATTCAAAAAAACCGCCGTGAGCAGTGAAGTGACGCCATCTTGTGTTGTAAGGAGCTTTCCCATATCGTCGATAGAGAGCGCAAAAAATATTTTTATTTTTAGTTCTCCTTTCCAACACCAGAATGCGTCATCGTGCAGAAAATTGTCGATATGTTAGCATAGACAAAGGGATAGAACGTAAATATAACAGATGTCGCTATGTGAGTATCAAACACGTTCTGTTACCTACATGCTCATTGGTTCTTGGCATTTGGTGGGGTGGGTGTGACACCACGACGCATGTTCGTACGTTCTATCGAATATGTTGAGTGACAGGTGGTGTAGTAGTTCTGTTACATACTGTGGATCGAGGATACAGCTCGTATCCTCGGATCACGCGATCGGCACGTTGTTAATCGTAGGTGTCAGTGTTAAGTTTTGTGATGCATACCACGATATCACGCGAACTGCCTGAGAGATTTAACTCCGTAAGAAGAGGTGAGTCCCTAT